CCAACTCACTAAATAATCTAAATAATTTGTAAATCAGCAGCATCCTCTTCACAGTTAGCAACACCCAAGACCTTAATATCATCTGCAAATTTAAGTAATTTATTGACTATCCCTTCATCTATGTCACTGATATAAATCAAAAAGAGCAAAGGTCCTAAGACTGAGCCCTGAGGTACCCCACTTGTGACATTAATCCAGTTTGACTGAACTCCATTTGTAACAACCTTCTGCTTTCTTCCATCCAACTTGCTAACTTATCCCTCACACCAATAAAGCTAGTTTTTTTTGTGTTTTTTTTACAAGCCTTTTATGTGGCACTTTGTCAAATGCTTTCTGAAAATCCAGATACACCAAATCTACACCATTATCCTCATCTACATAAACAGTAACCTTTTCAAAGAATGTTAAAAAATTTGTAAGGCAAGATTTTCCATTAGTGAAGCCATGTTGACTATCCAATAAAATTCTAAACTTTGTTAAATGACTTTGCAATGCATCTTTTAACAGACTTTTCAAAACTTTTCCCACAACTGATGTAAAACTAATGGGTCTATAATTGCTGTGACAATTTCTATCACCTCCCTTGAAAAGAGGAGTTACATTAGCTAACTTCCAATCCTCTGGTACCTGCCCACTATTCATGGACTGACAAAAAATAGTAGTAAGTGGCTCACATATCCAATCTTTAACCTTCTTCAAAACCCTTGAGGAAACATTATCTGGCCCAGGAGTCTTATCATTTTTTAAACTTCCCAATTTTTTTCTTAACTAGCTCAGAATTAATGCAGTCATCTAGTTCAATCTTGTTTCCATCTATAAACTGTTCAAGATGGGGAATACTGCTCAAATCTTCATTAGTAAAAAGCAAAATTAATAACCCAGCCATCTCATAATCATCAGATACTAGCCTTAATTTATCATCCCTCAAGGGTCCTACCCCATCCTAACATTTTGTTTACCCTTAATATACTTAAATAAGTCCTTACTGTTAATTTTTACATTTTCAGCCAACCGTTTTCCATACATTCTTTTTGATATCCTAATTTCCTGTTTTACCAACTTTCTTGATCTTCTATAATCTTCTAAGTCTCCTGTCATACCAGTCAATTTAAATAACCTAAATTTATGATGCTTTTCTTTAATTTTATCTCTTAAACTCTTTGTGAGCCAACCTGGTTTTTTACTTCCAGCTACCCTTTCTTTTTATAAGGAATATGTTTACCTTGAATATTTAAAAATTTTCCACATCTGATCAGTCTACAAATAACTCAGCTGCCCAATAGCAACAGATAATTCTTGTCGCATCCCTTCAAAATTTGCTTTTTTGAAACTTGTAACCAAAATATCATTATTCCTTATCTCCATATGCAGCAAAACATTGAACCTAATAAAGCAATGATCACTTGCACCCAGATGTTCCCCAGTTTCCACCCTCTCAATCATTTCTGTATTTGAAATTAACAACAAGTCTAAAATAGCATTGTTTCTAGTTGGTTCCTTGACTAACTGGTGAAGAAAGCCATCTTGATCAGTTTCCAAAAACCTTTCTTCTCACGTTTTGACTCTAGAATTTCCCAATCTATTTGCCTGAAATTAAAATCACCCATAATTATGACTTCATTAACAGCTGAAATCTTAATCTCATTGTAAAGTTTCTCACTAATTTCATCAGTATCATTTGATAGTCTGTAACAAATTCCCACTAAAAGCCTTTTCCCTTTATATCCACTAATAGAAACCCAAATGGATTCAATCTCCTTTGAAATCCTCAACTTCACTAGATGTTACTCACATTTTACATTTAAAACCACTCCTCCCCCTCTTTAATACTCTATCCCTATTAAACAGCCTGTAACCCGGTATTTCAAATAAATTTCTGTCATCAAACCATCTACTTTTAACCATGTTTCAGTTATTCCCATTCTATCAAAATCCTCCATTCCTACCAGTGCTCTAAAGTCATCTATTTTATTTCTTATACTTCTAGTATTACAATAGTGACAATTAAGCCTATCCTTATAACTACTTCTATACTCATTTCCTATGCTAAACTTTTCTCTGCCTCTTATTCTTTTTGAATTTAGTTCTTCCTGGCCCTCACCACTGTTTAGTCCTATTTTAAAACTTCCCTTACAGCTGAGTTAATAGTCTTAGCAAATAAGCCAACCCATACTCTATTTAAATGTAAACCATCTATTCCAAAAAGCTCTTTTTTCCCCCACTGAACTGATCCCACAAGTCCAAACAGCCAATTTGCTCATCCTTACCCACCTATCTAAGCCTAGCATTTTGCCCTAGTGACCTACTTATAACTTCATCCCCACAATTAATTCTGGGCAGTATCCCTGAAAAATTAAGTTATGGCATTTTTCTTTAAATGCCTTTATCAACCCCTTGTACTTATTAATTAGCTCCTCTGACCTACCTTTCCCTACATCATTAGCCTCTATATGCACCACAAAAACTGCATCTCTGCTAGCTCCCCTTTATTATATCTCCTGCTCTGTCAGTTATATCTTCCACCAGTGCCCCTGGGTAGCATAACCTGATTCTTTTCTCCCTATTTACCCCACAGACTATTCTATCCACATGCCTTGTCAAGGAATCACATATAAGTTATAACCTCCTTATCATCCACTTCCTTCTCTGACCTTTTTGTTTTCCTTCCCTCCAGTAGTTCCTCATCTGCAGATGCCAATGGATGAAATTTGTTGCTCAACAGAATCGGCTCATTATAATAAAATTCACTACTTTTTACTCAAAATAGGGATTTGTAGCTTGAGGAAATAATCTCAACACTATCTATCAAACCTTAAGCTTGTTTTTTACTTTTTGGCAATTGCATTTTCACTTTAAGCTACTTATCTTGTTTCTGCATTTTTTTGAATATCTCTATTCCTCCTTTTTAATTAACAATTTTGTCTAAACAATGGAAAGAATGTGGACTTAGTGGAATTTCAAAAAGCTTTTGATAATGTATCACACAAAAGATTAGCTAAAAAAACAAAAAAAATTGGAAGGGGTAAGGAAAAGATTATTTAATTGGATTATGGAATGGTTGGATGGCAGAAAATAAAATATTACTATTAACGGAGTTCAATCTGTTACCACTGGAGTATCTCAAGGGACAGTGATTGGGTCAATGCTTTTCCTTATTTACATTAATGATACTGATAGGGGCAAAATTAGAAAATTAGTAAATTTGCTAATAACATTAAGTCTTGGGTGTTTCTAGTTGTATTGAGGATGTTGAGGTACTATAGAATAACTTGGATCAAACGGCAAGTTGGAAAAATATTTAGCAAAATACCTTTAATAATAGCGTAAAGTAATGTAATTGCATTGTTTTAATTTGGAACACCTGTTTAATATAGATGGGAACCCACTCAACAGCATGACTGAAGAAAAGGATCTTACGCATAGTGGTGAATAAGTCACTCAAACCATCAAAGCAATGCTCTGTTACTAGTAGTAAAGCTAATAGAATTTAATGGTGTATTTATAGACATATTAATTACCATTTGGTATATATAATAATCCTGAATCATTTCAAGAAATCTCTCTTTCTTTCTATTTGACTCCATACAATCCCAATCAATACAAGTAAAGAACAACAATAACAACAACAACAACAAAAAGACTCCCATAATTATTGCATCAGTATTCTTATTAGCAGCAACACTGATCTCATTATACAATTTCTTGTTAACCCTTTCTCTCTCTCTCGGCTGAGTGAAGTGGACCTGTTTTTGAAAAAAAAAAACGACAAAGCAGCTCAAATAAGTCCCAGTACTAGTACCACCTTAAAAATATGTTCCAGTACTCAGTACCAGTGAGTACTATGTAGAATTTCACCCCAGCATGAAGGTAACTAATTGTAGTTACTTTTAAAGATGATTAAATTTAAGTAGAGAAACTAACATTTATTCACATGGTTTGGTAGAATTAGTAGCAGATCTTATAATTATACCCACTGATAACAGTAGAGTAGATGCAGACTGCGTTTTATAAACCTGCCTGTGGAGACTGGTTAGCATTCAGGTACCAATCTATCAATTGTAATAGGGTGAACACTATCAATTCTCTTAACAATTTTAAACACATCAATCAGATCCCCTTTAACTCTTCATTTGTCAATTATTCCAAGTCTTATCAAGTATAATTAATTGAATGTAATTGATTAGTGACCGTGGGGATTAATTGATTAACAAATTTCACTAATCATCTAGCTCTATATATGGCTTACAGTCAAGGTTTCAAGGGCAAAGAGTGTTTAACTACCAGAGTACCTTTACTTTTTTTTGTTTTGAGAATTTCACTCCTGCCTTCATGCATCAATTTAATTAACATAACAGTTAACACTAAAAAAACCCATGCACCTAGCAATGGTATAGACATATTTAATTATTAGTGAAATCATGAGTTTTTTAATTATGCCTTATGGTATTACTCCTATTCCAAATATAAAATGTGTATACACGCTAACCCTTTTAAGTGTTAGTGTTACCTTTTAATTCTGGTGATACTGATAGTGATACCACAAGTTACAACTGTAAGTACAACTCAGGAACTGACAAATAGTTTATTGGGCTAATTAACTTTTATGTTTTAGAACAATCTTTGTGTGAAAATTAGAATATTCACAGAAGTTAACCACAAAATTGGGTGTTGTTGTTTCAACTATTTGAATTTTCTCTAAGTTGTATAAACTCTACTTGAAAGTAAAGTTAATTCATAACGTCAAATATATATACACATCAAAAAGATGGTAAGTAATGATTAATATATTACCTGACATGGTATCACACATGCTTGCATTGGGCACTCTACCGTTGGTGCTTGGATAAAATTATGTTCAAGTTATAGCTTTCTTTATGTCTAATTATACGTATTTTAATAAAAATAATGAGCGAAAATTTCAGAATATTTATACAAGAAATAAGCTGAATGCCCGTCATATGACGGAAAATAATGATTAATTTTTCTTCTCAAAATGATATGTAAATAAATATTTTATGAATATGTTTTCTAAAAATTAATTATAATCTTGTGACAATATATGTATGGAAAATGACTATCCTTTTCTAGTATTTCACGAAACCAACAACTTTTTATGTATATTTGGTCATCTCCTTTAAGTATTGCTTAATTAGCATTTTGACTTTTGTATATTTTAAAGTTATGTTCAAATGCCATTCTTGAGAAGTCCTTGAAACATGCGAAAACACCGATTCTCAAAGACATATTCCTACTTGGTCAACTGTATGACCCTGCAAATTATTAATCGTGATTGTAAAGGCAGTGAATTTTATTATGAATTTCGGGAATCTTCTCGTTGGACTTCTTCCTGGTTTTGGCTTTGTTAGCTTGTTGAGCTGAAGAAGTGCACTTTAATTTGGGCATTTTCAAAATTGAAGTGTGCTGCAGATAAAAACATGCGGGTTATTATAGAATTGTAGCCGTAAGTTCCGATTGGATAACATTTGGTGATGTTATGTCAACGTGTCTCCTTGACAATCAAGCAAACACATTTGAAATTTCAACTAGTGATTATGATTTTTATGCGCCAGCAATACTAAGCGTGGGGCGCGCGTATACCTGATTCGATTTTATTACTCATTACAATCTCTACCAACCTACCTTGAAATCTAATTATATTCCCAAAGTAGCGCATTGTCCGTTTTTTATATACATGTATGGGTGGAAAATTTTTTAAAAGACAAACTTGCTTGTCGCGACAGAAAGTTGAGTGGGTCGATCGGTACCGCAACAGCCGAAAATAGAGATAAAAAGTATTTCATATCTATGTGACCAACATATCGGCGTGACAGACGTACGGCTTTTCATCTTTATATAGTATATATTAATTCTACATTCACGATATATATACATATATGTATATATTGGGGATGTACAAATATATATATATACATGTGTGTGTGTATAGACTTCAAGAGGCTAGAAACGTTTTAAGATGCAGATATTGTTTGAAAAAAAGCTTTTCTTAATATTCATACTGTTAAAAAAATTAAACACTTTATGTTACTGTTCCCAAGAGAAATAGGATTAAGTGTGTTTTACCTTTATTACATTTCTCTTTTATGATTTAAAAATGGAACACAGTAGTGTGCAAGTTTATTAGAACACCCTATTTCTTCTGTAGTTTTGGTTTGTTGTGCCTATAAAATAAAACTATGGTAAGTTAGAATGTTGGAAATGCTTTGTTTATTTGTGTGTTTTAGCACAAAACAACACAATAGACTATTTGTTCTTTTCCACCACGGATGAGGAATCTAACTCCAAATTTCAGCATTGTAAGTCCGTAAACTTACTTCTGACCCTCTAGCGGGCGTAGGAAGAAAGCATCAAAATAAGCAAATTATTGTTTTTCTTACTTTATCCATAACTATACTACATATTTATTTAATTTAAAACTTTAAGAGAAAAGCAACACATAGCCATAAATGATTAAGTTCAGTTCGTTGGTTTTTAAAATTGTGTAAGATGGCTAATTTAAATACAAAGAGGTACAACATTGTCACACATGATTGCACTTAGTTTCTGTATCAGTTTGCCCCCCGGTGGTACAGCGGTATGTCTGCGGACTTACAACGCTAGAATC